GAGAGAGCGCCGTAGTTTGCTGACTCTGTTTGCTTCCCACAGTTATGAGAAGAGCTGATGGGTGTACGTGTGTTACCTAACCAGCTTGTTTAACAAGATCCTTGCACCTGAGCATGAACACCTATTTTGCTCCCTGGAGACTGGAGCAAAATCCAACATTGCCGCCCACACAGACACACAAACACACACTCACTGTTGTTTCTTCACCAAACTTTTGCAAAACTTTAGCATTACACCAGTCTCTGTATTACTCACAGACACACAAACAGACTAGGCGGAATATGAGCGTGGCACCACTGCCATGCTGGATTCTGTCTGTGATCATGTGCCAGATAGAGAATTAGCAGTGTTAACCAAGCAGCAGTGCAAACAACAACTGATTAAGAATGAAACAACTCAGCCACTCAGTATTCAGCATTAGCTGACTACTCTGGTATACTCTATGAGCTGGATTATTTTTTGGGCTCCTGCAAGAAGGCTACCAAGCCTTCCCGTAGTGGCCTGAAGGTCAATCCTCACATCTGCTTGCCTGATTATTACCTAAAGCTAAAGCTGAGCCGTGTCCTAATTTTAACCTCAGCTGTAAACCCAAATTTGAAACTAAAATAGCTAAATGAAAGTTTTAGAGCTCCCCCCCCAAAGCTTTAAGCCTGAAATTCACTGAGCTTGAGCAGAGACACCAACTCTAAAATACACTCATGTACACTTTTAATACACATCTGTGACTTTGACTAGTTAGTGACAAGACCAGGGTTTAGCTCATTTTAGTATCTGGTGCTGCGGGAGACTTTGGCCCCAGGACTGGCCTAGTTCAGTGTGCTTTGGCCTGGTTTGGGAGCTCTCTTGACTGCTGTTTGAGCAGAAACAGAACGGAGGTGGATTTGCCTCCCACAAGCCTATCATCTGTGCTACCTTGTATGACAGCCGTGCTGTGCATGTGTGTGCTTGTGTGCATGTGTTGGATGTCTGATGAGAACAAACTGACATAGCAGCCCAGGAGGAGTAGTGCATACTGATTGAAATATGTGCAAGAGAAACATTTTTCACTCTCACAGACTGCTCTCTATCTCTTATCCCTTATTCTTATAAGCAAAATATGATGACATATTTTACAATATAAAAGTGTCGTACATCTGTTTAAGTAATGAAATAACCAGTGGTTGTTAGTATTCCTCTAGTAAATGCGGCATAGGTTTGTAACACTCCTTGAATAAAATCTTCGTAACGCTTTTATTCCAAGTACTTGTGGAAACTATCAATACGTGTAAACCCAGTGAACAACGCCACACACATTTAAGTGTGAGGAATATCATATTATAAGTAGAGCATGTAGATGCTATATAAACACAGACGTATATGCACTCAAGCTGCCAAGAACAGGGTTTACACAGCCACCACAGGCTGTAACGTCCTGAGTGGGTGTCCACATGCTGCACAGACACAGTCGCACTTCACTTTATTCTCTTCATGCTGCAATGCAAGCTGGCTGTATGGTTGAATGGGTCCATGATTTGAGCCCTGTCTTTGAAGTCCACTGAGGCAGGGAATGGGAAGTGATGGATTTATGTTTCATGACATGCTTTACTGGCACACTGCCCTTCTCAGTCACCCTGGCTCATCTTTGGTTTACGCTGCAAATTTTATTCCTATTTATCAAAAGCTGGCAGCCTTGTATAATTCACCCTTGTCTTTCTATACTTCTTCTTCTTTCTCTCTCTTGGTTCTTCTTTTTCTGTCTCTGGTTGCATGTTTCTATTTACTCCTCTGTCTCCTGCCTCCTTCCTTCTTTCACTTTTCCCTCATCTGTCTCTCTACTCCTTTGCTCCTGGCTAAGAAGGTGTTCACCCTGTGCTCCCTGGTGCTGTGGTAGCTGTCGAAAAAGGACAACGATAATGTTGGCCTGCATTCCCTCATGTCCGGAAAGAAACTGTGCTCTTTCCTCACGCTGAAGAGGACAGTCTCTTGCTTCTACATGTAATTGGGGGTTTGAACACTTGCTACAGGCACATTATAACCTTTATCAGTATGCATAAGGGTGATAAAGGTTGTTCACAAACTCCACAAGAGGAATTTCCTTGTGCAATGAGAATAAAGAAAACTTTGACCATTTCATACTGTGGCCATACTTGTTTATGGTGTGAGAACACACTGATGGAGGGCAGCTTTTTATAGGCTGGGCAGGTTTTGGTCACCTTTGTTCCATTCCACACTTTCTGTACCTATTTAATTAAAAAGCTGTTCTGTTTTTCAGAGGTTTGGAAACAGCGCAGCATTCCAGAGGTCATAAACAGCAAAATATTCACCTCACGCGTTGATCTTTTGTGTTCACTTTATTTATGATCAATGAGCTGACAAATCTGCTAATGTGTTTGGCAGGAAGCCTTTATCCATTAATTTAAAAGCTGTTCCTCACAGACAGTTGTTCCCCAGCTTGTATAATCCAAAGGCCCTCCAAAACCCCAAAAGGCATTTCTATGTCCCGCTTCCAGCAAAACACAAGCTGTCATACTTGAAACCATCACCCACCCCACCTCAGAAAGAAACAGTGGTTTAACAATCGGATTTTTGAGAGATTTGTTTATGGACACTAAAGCTTGGGAATTTCCACTAGGGTTTAGGGAAGAGAGTATAATATTCTGAAAATCTACAATTAGGATACTTGTTACCAGACGGAGAAGCAGCGGTCTTGTACTAAGCTCATCCACGTCTTCCATCCCTCAATATCAAACCTTATCACTGCAAGCATGCATTATGAACAGCAAGAATGTAAAACCAAAGTACTGCACCTTACTTACAGTTTTATATACTCACAATTCTACTTACTAATTCCCCGTGAAATTCTGCATCTCAGCAGGGATTTAGATTGAAAACAACCCTGCATTAAATGCTGCAAGGAGCTGTGTTGTTTAAACGAAGAAATACGATCCAGGAAGACCAGCTGGAGTAACAGATCAATGCATTGAGAGGACCGCAGGATGCCAAAACACTGCACAACAGTTTGGAAAGCTCATAATCAGGATTTTACAGTTCTGGAAAGTTATCACAGTGGCAACTAATTTATCTTTAGTCCAAACTACCTTGAGGTAAGCAGCAGAAATACCACATTTACATTTAAATGTTAATCAACAGGGAAATGTTTAAATGGCCAGTGTAGTGTCTTAAAAGGCAAAGAATGTGTACACATCCAAACTAAACTGGGTACACGCACAAGGCAATAACAACTAGGAAGAAAAAAGAGACAATTTCTCTCTTGTTTCTTGCCAGTGTAGTGTCTTGTCAGATGACTCTGTGTTGTGTCGCAGCGAAAGCAGAGCCTGGTTCAGATTTTTTACTGGATGAACCTGCATAGTTTTTTTTGCAACTAAATCTGACGGCATGAATCTTGCTAAGAATTTAGGCTGAACAACTATGGAACTTTTTATGGGCTTCGCTCAAACTTCCTGTGTTTGTTGCCAGAGGTGAGAGAGAGAGGTCGATAAATTAAGTGTTTTGAATTCAGGCTCAGCTCCTCCCTCGGCACAGCTGTCCAGTACAACAACACACTGATCTCATGTTCCATCTAATCCTCACTTGTGAGCAAATTTGATTTGCAAACTACCTCTGTTTTTTTTGTTTTTTTTATCTCATGCACATCAAAGCGACGGTCACATCCCACCAAATCCAGCAGGGTCACATAATCGGCAAGGGCCAGAGATGCAGCGCTACGATCACAAACTGGACACCCTACACTTCTCTTCTGTGCAGTAAAATCACAGAAGAAACACAAATGGTGGTAGCGAGGCACAGAGCCCAGTAGTCGCTGAGAATGCACTCGACCTCGAGGATACAGCTTTCCCCTCCAGTTTCACAAGGACCAGATGGCTTGGAGCAAATGTCCCAGATCCTCACACATCCTCATGCACAAATTTGTCTCATGTTGCTGGAAAGATTTGGCTTCTCATGTCAGTTGAAACATAATGGATAATGTACTGTACACTATTTTGGCTAGTTAGCCGTTGGAGTTCTCTGTCACAGCTAACTAAATACAGAGGAAACATTTCCCAAAAATACGAAGAACACACAGAACCATCCAGATTGTTCATCAGCTGTTGCCCATTACCACCCAGCTTTTATTTTGGTTTGACCAAAGCCTGTGATTCAGATTGCATGCCACTATTTTACAGACTGAGGAAAGGTCTCACAGGCAGTTGGCACCAGCAGAATGCAGGGTGTGTGTCTACTCACCTCTTACCTGACCTCATATTCTCATCTTTTGCCGGCCAGACTTCTTACAACAGGGCTGCAGTCCCCTCTCTCTGCTTCAGCTTGTCCTCCAGGCTCTGCTGGGAAAGTGGCCTGCCTCCACACACACATACTAACATAGACACGCACGATTGTGTGCACTCACTTATACAGGGAGTCAATGAGGCAATGAGTGTAGATCAAGGCTTGACACCAGGAAAGCGTGTGTCTAACGCCCTACAGGGAATCTGTCTGTGATCAAAAATGTATCAAAGAGGGGATAAAACTTGAAACGGCAAACTTGAAAAGACCTCATTTTGTACCTGATCACAAAATAGTTTCTTCAGGTTCTTTTGGGGCAGTCTAAATCAGTCATTCTAATAACAGACACTGGCTTTCACATTCCTCAGTTTTACCCCCAAATGTCATCATTGTTTAAAAGCCTATTAGTTTGCATTTCAAAGTAATATTCGTCATGCAAGCTGCTGTCAGCTCTGTGTCTGTGGGGTTGCCCTGATGGCTGAGCGGTCTAGGACAAACCTGCATGGGAATAGCAGACAGTTGCTGTGACTGCATTAGCTGGAATGTGAACCCAAGCTGTGCTGTCGTCTCCTTTTTACTGCCCTGTCTGTTTACACTAGCAAATGTGAAAAACTGGTGAACTAGCACCTTCAACAGTCGCTGCACTAATCACTGTCCTAAATGAACCGAGCTCTGGTCAAACAAAGGGAAGTGAAATGATGTTTGACTCTTATCCTTGTCTCTTAGGCATGAATAATGCTGCTAAGCTGACCTCTGCTGACCTGCCACTCTTCATTGGGATCACTCAAGACTTCCCTGCTGTGGAAACACCCATTACACACTATGGCAAGGTAAGCTGATGTAAGTCAGCAGCAGTGTTTTGTTATGTTCTGTCATCATGGCAAAATACTAAGCAGGTAGACCCGCTTCTGAAAAGAAAGATGCCAAATGAAAAAACGTTCCACTGTAGTTCATTTGCTACCAGAGGGGGGTCTAGATGCTGTCAGTCTCTTAAGATTCATTGTAGCACCTAAATATACGTACATAGGCTAAACACCTCTTACCATTGCTGCAACTGGAATCCTCACCAGTCTTAGACGATGTTTAGACGCCACCACTGCCACTGTGTCTGCTGTCTCTAACTTGTGCCCCTTTGCTTGTCTGTCTTCATGCTTGTTTTTATTTTCTAGCTTGCAGAGAGTTGGCTCTGCATGCCCATGGGTATGTGCTCGACTGTGTTCATAAACACAGGTGATAACAAACAGATGAATGAATAGCTGTGGATTATCACATGCAGAGCACACACAAGCTAAATTATTTATGCAGCTGTGATACTGGGTTTTCATCTCTGCCACGTTCCTTAGCTCTCCGTGCTGTGAAAAGCAGATGGCATATTTTGAGGTGGCAGTCATGTGTGCAGAAGGATGGAGAGATGGATGGGATAGTCAATCAGTCCTCATTTTTTTCTTCCTGTCCCATCAAATGTAGCCCCTCCCTGCATGCATCACATCACTGGTGTTTATGTATGTTTGTATGCACTTTTTATGACACACAGATGTTTATGTGTGTGATCGTGTCTGTATACATTTGTGCAGATGCCTGCACGTGCACACGTACATGCTAGTGTGAGTGTTTCTCTCTGTTCAGTTTTGTTTGATGTGAGGACACTTTAACCGGTCCACACACGTTTAGAGGGTTGTTTCAGGGTTACGACCTGGTTCTAGGGTTCAGGTTAGAATTATGTTTAGGTTGGGGCCAGGGTTAGACATTTTGTTTAAAGGTTAGGGCAAGGGGCTATGAAATACATTATCTCACTGAGTGTCCACACAACTATAGCAAGGCAAACAGGTGTGTGTACATACGAGCATCCCGACCCCAGACAAAGGCCCGGCCTGAATCCACTGGCTGGGCGGAACCGCATGTAGCGTAGTAATGAGGGCGTCATTAGTTTGGCTGGAAGGCTCCTTCACTATTAGCTAATGGATTCTCAGCCATCTGCTCTGACAGGCTCCACCGGTTACTCATTTCCACCTCCATTAGAGTACGCTATGGAGATGTCTTTCCTCGCTCCATGTGGAAGAGGCTCAGGGAGTGGCTGAACCCCTCCTGCTGGGTGGCTCAAATGCTCCTGGCTGTTTGTTTGGCTCACTGTCAGCTAGTCTGTGTCTGTGTCTGTGCTCGCTGTGGTATCTCAGTCAGGATCTGTTTAGTGTCTCTTTCCACACCGTCTAGATTTGAACTATTTTTTTTTCTGTTTTTCTTTTTCATTTATCCTCAAATGTAAATTATTTGTGTAAAAGTGTCATTCTATTTACTAATATATCTAGATAATGTTTTTATCTGGCTGTAATGTTATTCTTTAGTACATATAGCATCACAAAAGTCACCACAAATATATGATTACACCTTTTTCTAAAATTTTATTCAATAAACTCTTTATACTGCGCATACATTATTATACTTTTTAAAAGACAACAATCAAAAGAGGATGGATAGGCATCAGTAGTTTTGCTGTGAACCAGCACAGAATAACAATAAATCTAGGTATAAGATTGCTTGTAATTATTATATACAGTAGGTAGACCCTTTTAATTTAATCAGGCTGGCCATCCCATATAAAATGAAATATTCTGCATATTTTCTAAACATTTCTTCTCCTGGGGAAGATACAATAAAGACATAAGCATATACATGAACTGAAGAATGACCAATGCATTGATCACTTTTCTTTTCTAACATAGGATCATGCTAATATTCCTCCACGTTTAGATTTCTGACAGGTATGCTGTGACTGTGTATGCCTAAGACAACTATGGAGCCATTAGTCCAATTTATTGGTAAATCACAGCATGAAATTTGTACCTTTCACTTACTCTATCTAATGTGCAGGACATTACATTTTTCATAATTAGGCTTCTTTGGGGAGATCAATGAATGACTCATTTCAGTGTGAGGAACAACATTTGGCTGAATTTGGAAAATACATCACCTGCACATAATGATCCACTATATTGCAAATATAAAGTACTGTGCAAAAGTCTTAAGCTACCATTAGGTTTGTTGACTGACAAACCTATGATGACTATATATGTATATAACAGAATACAGCTAGAAAATACAGGAAATATGTACACAGTATTAAAAAATACGACTGTCAGCAAACAAACTGAATACTCCAGATGTGTTATTCAAGCTGTTCTAAAGAAATATGAAGAATCCAGAGAGACTGAGGACAAAAATGGAGTGGAAGACCAAGAAAACTCAATATCTGAAGGGACATTTGTCAGAGTTTCTTCTCTGAGAGGCTAAAAGAAATCCAGCAGGGACCCGGCTCAGCATCTGGCAGCTTCATCTGAAGTGTGAACGGCCATTGTAGAGGGACAGCAGACAAGAAACCACTTCTTCAGAAGCGGGAAGGGACAAAAGGCAGAGATATGCAAAAGCTCGCAAAGACGAGGGAAGATCATTGGGAAAGAAAAGTGTTATGGAGCAATGAATTGAAGTTTGAAGTATTCTGGTCCAATCATCCGATAGTGTGGGAGAAGAAAAGTTGGAGAAAGGTGGAAGAATGAGTGTAACAGCCTTCAGTGAAATGTGGTGGAGGGTCTGTCGGGGTTTCAAGACCATTTCCCCAAAAGAATTCAAGGCGCACTAAGTGCAAAGGGAGGTCGCACTAAATACAGACCTTGGACAGTAGAAGCCATTTTGTTCCAGAAAGTTATTTTTTTAATATTGTGTACATATTTCCTGTATTTTCTGGTTATATCTTTAAAAGGAGACAGAAATAAATACACATTATCAGTACAGCCTTGCTAAAACAGCAGTGGCCTAATGGTGGCCTAAGGCAGTATCATAAATATAGTAAGAACATTATATTTATTGATATTCCCATTATTTATTATGTTACACTTTGGCTTTTTATACATTATTTTTATCTAATTAATCAATAAATTTTCTAAACTGAAATGCTCTAAACATTTCTAAATAAAATTCAACCAAGATTTCACCTTGGTGAAATGTGTTTCAACCTCACATTCAGTTTTTTTCTCACATTTTGACTTCAAGAATGTCTCCCGAGGGATCCCTTGAGAAAGACAACATGTGTTTAATCATCACGATCAACAAAAATGCTATTTCAAAGCTACAGTTTCTCCCTGGGGGAAAACGACAAGGTCTTTGGAAAGACAATGTATGACCTGTCTTGTCAGCTTCACTGGGAGCTAACCTCTTTCCTCCACTCAGGCAGGAACCAGAAGTAGGTTGTGGGCTTATTGCTGATGAGTCTCCACAGGACACCAGCTCTAATAGATTTTAAACAGACTTGTTCCCAGGTCTAAATAATAAACTTAGCACCTGGGAAATGTGTATGAAAACCGTTTCTATTTACCTGCTGTGTGCCACTTACACTATTTTACGTCATGTTCTTTATCTCTTGCTGCTTCTGTGCTATCACTCAGTTGTCAAGTGGCTTTTATGCAAGTTTTTGGAATCTGTCAGAAAACATAAAATGCCAGTCAGGAGCATTTCCATCAGCTGCATGAATCATCTAATGTCAAGCAAAAAGGATAATGGATAATTTTTTTTAGCTCAGGGATTTTTGGCCACTAGAGAGCAGAGGAGCTCAGACTGGGGGCTCTTAATGTTTTCAAATCAAGGTCCCTCTACAAGCAAGTTCAGTATTCACTCCCCTGTTAGTGCTGGTGTTTCACTTTATTCACCAGCCTGTTGCCATATGGACTGGCTCACCAAAATAGTCAGCTAAAACCTTTTAGTGATTTTAATAGTTTTAGTAATTTTGACAGCCTTTTAGTGAGCTAAGACGCTGATCACATTACAAAACGTTGGCCAAATGCTTTTTCAGAAATATTAAATCAATTACAAGCTTTAATTGGTTGAGGGCATTTTGTAAATACCAGTTTTGCCTCAAGTGATACATATTTCTACAATTACACTAATGTCCCTTTTTGCCCAGTGCATGTGCTTGTCTGTATTTGTGTCCAAAGAGATCAAATTTAGACTCAGTGAGATTTCCAGTGGCAGCCATTATTAGCTTGATAATCCAAACCCACAGCTGTTTCACAGCCACTCGTGCTTTGATGGCGTCATATTCTAAAAATGTGTGGATATGGTAACAGTTTTCTGCCAGATCTATTTACTGCCAAAGCAGTTCAGCTCTTCCAGAATAAACAGTCAGACCCAGAGTCAAAAGCACACTACTCTGTATCCTTAGTGAAATTACTGTTGGTTTTTTCTTTTACATTTTCACAATATATTGTCAATTACAGGTTTCTTTATGATATAAGATATTCATATACAGTCTGCTTAGTGTTGTGTTAGTTTGACTAATTGTGTCTTCTGCCTGTGTTCCCAGTTCTCCCATGGTTTTCTCTCTGTTTCTTTTCCCTATCACGCTGTCCATCTATTCCTCATCTACTATGAATATCACATCATCCGTCCCTGAGGGGCCCTTCCAAGAAATTGCACATTATCACCCTTCGCTTTGACAGGGACGTGTTGGTGCATTTATCACAACTATCAGGATGTGTGAACAACATATGATCACATCTACTGTCCCCTGGGGGGCTGTAGCTCATCCAGCACACACACACACACATACATTATATATACATGCATACACATCACACACAGACTGCCAAACATGCAAATGTCAACTCTGACACTCATCTCACACACATACACAAAGAAAGCTGTGTACATCTCCTACAGATATTGCAAATTTCTCTCATGGATTTCCTTTCCTGCTGGTTTAGCATGATTCCCTTGGGCACAGTAGAGCCCCATCCTGTTTAATTGAGTGTATCTCATCATCTGCAGTGGGCCTTCCCCCCTCTAATCAGTTTTAAGAGCTCCTTTGCTTTCTACCAACCTTTACGCTTCAAGGGAGTCTAGCACTACACATGTGAAAGTATTTGTGTGAGTGTTTTAAAGAGAACGGGTGGGCTAAGTGAGGAGGATTAAAGCACCAGTGTGAATCATCCTGTTGACATGGAGTCAAAGTGAGAGAGACAAATGTGTGGCACACGCTGACACACAGTGAGTGACTGAACTCATACACTGTGTGATGTGACAGTCAAAGGAAGGGTTTTTGCACTTTTCACCCAAAATAAACCATTAAGAAGGAGTAAATGGACAGGTTACAGGATAGCTTCACAATTTTTCAAGCCTATCATAAAATGAAAGTCAACACTGAAATCTAAGATTACTTCTTAATGCATTTTCAGTGTAAGTGATGGGGAACAAATAAGTATCAAATAAACCTTGGAAAAGGGTGGCTTGTTCCCTTCAGGTTGGTGGAGAGTTCCTGCCTCAAGTGGAGGAGTTCAAGTATCTTGGGGTCTTGTTCACGAGTGAGGGAAGGATGGAACGGGAGATTGACAGGCGGATCGGTGCAGCTTCTGCAGTAATGCAGTCGATGTACCGGTCCGTCGTGGTGAAGAAGGAGCTGAGCTGTAAGGCGAAGCTCTCGATTTACTGGTCAATCTACGTTCCGACTCTCACCTATGGTCATGA